TTACAGGCCGCTAACCTCTCCCTAAGATGTCTCGAACATGACCCTAGAAAGCGCCCCTCCATGAAAGAAGTTGTGGAGGTGTTGGAACAGATCGAAACCATGAAGAAGGAGCCATAAGAATCACAACATGGTTCCTTGCATTCTACAGCTCATTGTCATCGATCTAGTCATCATCATTCCCCCCTACACCCTAGCCACCATGGAATTAGAGTCAAAGCTCAAAGATAATAGCGCACACATGAATATGGTAAAACTATAAATATTGGTGTCGATGTGAATGTTCTCACAAAAGTTGCGTACCTAATTTTAGTGATTGTTTTTTTTTAACAAAAAAAAATCTCATTGAAAATATGTCTATGTAGAATAAAGGTGCGGATGATATATCTTTACCATATCCCTGTTTGAAAATGGTGTGATAGTAATAACAAAAAGGATGCGTGTCCTACTATTTATCAAATCAATTGTACTTTTGGCAATATTACTTTTCATGATAACATTAATAATTTTAATTCAAATCTCAATCCACTCAATTGAATTTCACTCCGTACGTGAGTTTTAGTTCAATAACTCCATGTACGTAGAATTATTTGTAATGATTATTGTGAACTCGAATTAATAATCCTATCAAAAAAATGAAAAAAAAAAAAAAAAACGTTGCCAAACATAAAAAATGTGGGTCCTTGATATTATTTTACCTAAATTCAGGAAATATCCCTGGGATCCAGTAAGCCAACCACTTCAAGGGATCGCCATGATATTATTAAAATATTAAGGGATTGGTATATAATTTAACTAAATGTCATGAATATGTGAGAAATTTAAAAAATTCATGTCCTTGCCTCCGTGCCTAGTGGCACTACGTTTTATCGTCGTGCAATACCATCATCTAATAAAGAGCGTTTATGCACAGAAAATGATTTTACTGCCCCTCTTCTCCTTTGCACGTGATAACAAAATCAAACGGACGACAAACGAAAAAATAACGATAGACTGTATTGTAATATTTTAATATCTTTTAGGGATAATATGAAAAAATTAATTATTTTGGGGTAAAGTGAAAAAATTTGTTTATTTCAGGGGACAAAATGGGATTTTCCCTTATAAATATGACAAAGTCTGTCGGAGAAAAAAAAAACACTTGAAATTGGGAGGGCGATCCTCCTGATAAACTGACCGTAACCCACACCGACGAGTGAACAAGGAAAGATGGTAGTAATTCTTGTTCAAGCTCAAAAAGTCCAACAGGAAAATTCTTCCCAATTTCTTCCATTATCTCTCTCTCTCTCTCTCTCCTCTTATTTTATGGCCTCTGAAACAGAGAGATTTTGAAACCATTCATGGAAAAGTAGTAACAGAAAAAGAGATTGGTAATGGGGAATTGCTTTGTGTCTAAGATGGGTAATTCTAACCCAAGCATCAGTGACCGCAGCATCACCACTGGACCTTCCACTGCAGGTATTGCTTTTTAATCCAAATATTTCTACAGAAATACTCATTTCCTTGTCTGGGTCTTCATTCTTTCATGTATTTCCTTGATTCTATCTGATAATAGCTAGAAATCAAACTCCTTTATCCATTATTTGGCCGTGCTAATTAATTCCCCATTATATGTTTGTTTTCTATTTTTGTGAAATCGTGATTTGGGTTCTTTTTATTTTCTTAATTTGTAACCCCTCTTCTGTTGTATATTTTCCAATACCATTAAAATAAAACGTTAGCTCTTGTTTTATTTACTTAAAACGGTATAAACCCGTTTCCAATATTGGTGTTTTTTTCAAACTTGAGTGCTAAATCTAGACAACTTTGTTATATATATCAGGGACGTCGAACAATTATAACAACGGTGGGGGATATTCGGCGACAAGCAGCAGCGAGGGGACATGTTGTGATGGGGAAATATGGCCCACACCGACCTTGAAGATCTATAGCTTTGCGGATTTGAAGAAGTCCACAGCAAATTTCAAGTCTGATTCAGTGTTGGGAAGAGGGGTTTTTGGGACAGTGTACAGGGGATGGGTTGATAAGAAGACGCTTATGCCTTGTCAATTTGGCACTGGAATGATTGTTGCTATCAAGAAATTTGACTTGGAAAGTTTGCAAACGTATACAGAATGGGAGGTAATTTCAACTTTGTTGTTTGCTTTCATGTGACAAAATTGGTTAGGATTCATGGTTGATATTCATTTCCAGTAGTGTTGGAATAAAAAGCAACCTTTAGGCTTCACTTAACTGCAACATGTATGAGATAACGAAATTTTTTTGGTTATCTAAAAGAAGGAAACGTTCGTGATATTTTTTTTATTAAAACATCAGTCAAAACTAAACACCTTGAAACATAAAAATTTTAATATTTAATTATTAATTGTCTTAATGGTTTCCGTTAAAACAGTAAATTTTTGGTAGTTTCAAAACAAATTTTTGATCCTTGTCTGTGACAACTGAAAAGATGGTCTTATTCCCTAAGATGGATTAGAACCTAGAGCTATGGTCAATGTCGCCTGCCGCTAATGAATGGAGAGGGTGAGACTATCAAAAAGAAATCATGGTTCTATTTTCTGAAAGAAAGCAGTGGGAGAGAGAGAATGTTTCTTTTCACCAAAATACCCATGCTAAAAAAATTGAACCAAGTTCTATTGTACCTATCTTCCCCTCCCTTGAACCACAAATTTTATCTTTATGATTTTTGCAAGTCTTTCTAAATAAAAGGTTTTATTGCCTAGAGATTGAATGGTACAATATATATGAGCATACCTTTGTAATGGTGGAGAGCCTCACTATGGTTGACATCACTATATTGCAAAAGCAATTCTACATAAAAAAGGCGGTGCACGAATCTCCTACCATTGTGGAGTCTAAGAAACGTAATCCAACATCTACAACCCTTTTTATTAACTAGAATCAACAACATGATTGTTGTAGCCAACGAAACTCACTGTTGTCTTGCCAGTCTTCTTTAATTTCCATCAACATAATAGTCTTTCAACCAGTGCTAATGGTTTGTTTGCTTCATTTCATAATGTAGTCAGAAGTGAATATTTTAGGAAGGCTTTCACATCCTAACTTGGTGAAACTTTTGGGATATTGTTGGGAGTACACAGAACGCCTACTTGTGTACGAATTTATGCAGAAAGGAAGCTTGGCTGACCATCTATTCAGAGGTAAGAAGGGTGGAAAATTTGCAAAAAAATTTAATTGCTTTTCCATGAAAAAGTACATTGATTTATGGGTTGATTGGTTTTGTAGAGAATCCCGCCATTGAACCTCTTTCATGGGATATACGGCTCAAAATAGTCATAGGTGCAGCCCGGGGCCTCGCTTTCTTGCACACTTCGGAGAAGAAAATTATTCACAGAGATTTTAAGGCCTATAATATACTACTAGATGTGGTGAGATTTTACATATGCCTCATTATATATAGGAAGAAGTTTGTTTTTTTTTTCCATGTGAACTTAAGAAGCATTAAGAAGTAAGAATTAGAAGCAGCAACAATTGATTATAAGTAAGAAGAAGATAATGGATAAAAGCAACTTGTAACCCATTTCCAAAGAAAAGAAAACTTGGAATTGTACATTTTGTGAGGTTAGGGTATCAATTAGTCTTACCACATTTTGTCCTTTCGTCATTCGCTATGCAGTATAAAGAATCAACGAAAGTAAGTTATGGACATGTGAAATTAATTCTAGAAAATTGTTAGTCAAAGATTTTAGAATTCTCAAAAACCGAGGGAAGTGATTATGAGCACTGAAGACATAGCATTTATCTAACTTGCTATGCAAATAACTGCATAACATGATATACCAACATCCCAGTCACGTAGAGAAATATCTTGTATAATAATATTGACAATTCTCCCATTTTTTACTGAACAAATATGGCTGGTTAAATTAGTATGGAATTGCATATATATTCAAGATTCTGATTGTTGGGGTTTTCTCTTTTCTATTTTCTATTTTTTTTTTTGTTGCAGAATTACAATCCAAAAATATCAAATTTTTGCTTAGCAAAATTGGGTCCCTCAGGTGGAAACTCTCATGTGACAACCCAAATTATCGGCACATATGGTTATATTGCTCCTGAATATGCTGCAACAGGTGAGCTTTTATTTGAAGTTCATCTTACATTTGTCTGAATCGAAGAAATAAAAATAGAACTCCTTGTTCCTTGGATATTGAGGCAATCGTCCCCTAGAAGTGATTCACAAAAGGCACCCTTAGCTATCTAGTGCAAGAGATGATTTGGTGGGTACCTTCAAAAATGGAAATAAAGCAATGAAAATGAAATTGGTTTATGAGATGAGTTTTGAAATAGACGAACAAATAAAATATCCAAATAGGCTATTCAACTTCAGTATATAACAATGGCAGTCATTCTTAAAAACTTCCCTTGCCCCGCTCTCACACTTCCTTTCATATAGTCGATGAAGTGCAACAGATCACATCTCAATCTATTCTCAACAGGTCATCTTTATGTGAAGAGCGATGTGTATAGCTTCGGTGTTGTGCTGCTTGAGATTTTATCAGGTTTACGAGCACATGGATATGGCCAACGAAATTTGATTGATTGGGCGAGACCTCATCTCTCTCACAGAAGGAAGTGGAAGACCATTATGGATGCGCGGATTAAAGGCCAATATTCTTCTGAGGCAGCTTTACAGGCCACTAACCTTTGCCTAAGATGTCTGGAATATGAGCCTAGAAAGCGCCCCTCCATGAAAGAAGTTGTGGAGGAGTTGGAACAGATCGAAACCATGAAGAAGGAGCCATAAGAATCCCAACATGGTTCCTTGCATTCTACAGCTCATTGTCATCAAACTAGTCATCATCATTCCCCGCTACACCCAAGCTACCATGGCATTAGAGTCGAAGCTCAAAGATAATAGCACACGCATGAATAAGGTAAAATTATAAATATTGGTTTCGATGTGAATGTTCTCGCAAACATTGTGAACCATAATTCTAGTGGTTGTGTTTTTTTAACAAAGGAGATATCATTGAAGATATATATTATTTAGAAGAGGTGTGGATGAAATTTTTCTTAAAATATATCATGGGCAATTTAATAAAATTGTATTTTAGTTAACCTCATTAATCTGACAGAGAGTGTCAGTGATGTTTTACATAATATAAGAGGTCTTATTGATGATATGTCTATTTAAAAAAGTGTTAATAATAATTACTTTAGAGTTTACCATAATTATTTTATTAGTTAGCAAAAGAAAAAGTAGCCTATGTTATTAAATTCCAATGCACGTTAAGGTGAAAAGTTAAAGCACGAGTCACATATTCTTTTTCAAGTGTTTTTTTTTTTTTTTTTTTTTTGGGGGGGGTGGGGGG